AGATATAAGGAAAAAATATTTTATGCTTATGGTGGAGAAACACTAGAACAGGTTGCCCAGGGAGGTGTTAGATGCCCCGTCCCTGGAAGCATTCAAGGTCAGGTTGGATGGGGTTCTGGGCAACCTGATCTAGTGGAAGATGTCCCTGCTTACTGCAGGGGAGTTGGACTACCTCACTTCCATGGTCCCTTCCAACTCAGACTATTCTATAATAAGGAGAACATAGAAAAAACAAACCAAATTTATGCCTTTGAAATATGCATCAGAGTGTAGCATCATCCCTTGCTTAACACAACTAAACTGAATTGTCAGACTTTTTAATAATTCTGTAGACTGAGCCTATTCCGCCACCAAATGCCCTGTACTTTTTTCCTTCCCCCCACTGGACTATTTCAATTTTCTGATGCTTTTCTAGCAGTGAGATGCCTCCAGTGGGATAGTATACTTAAACAGGAATATTAAGCCATATAGAAGACTTGCTGGCTATGAGCTTCCTGAACTGACACTGAACAACCCACATTAAAACCAAGCTGTAGTTGAGAATAGCATATTATCTTCAGCACTGAACACTGGTTAGAAGATTTCACAAGTTCAGGATAAGCCTTAGGAAGTAATGCATCCAAATTCTAGCATAAGCAGAAGGTGATTTTAAAAATTGCCTCGCTGAAAATATTCAACTCACTATTTCTAAATACTACTTGATGTAGTATTCCACATGCTACACTGAGCATATTTACACTCTTATTTCTTGCAGGGAGGTCAGACAACATGGATTTCAATGAAGCAAGTCCAACTAGCTGTTCAGAAAGAGATCGTGATTCTTCCCATCTTTGCCATTATTCCCTCATACCCAGCCTTAATGCTCAAAACAAGATGCAACAGCAGGGCCTATCCAGTAGCAGCAAAGGTCACGATTGCAAGTATAACCCATTGCAAATGCTTTGGATACTTCATGCTCTCAGCAGTGTAAACCTAAAACCTGCAGCTAGTAGGCTACAGTCATCTGATCTGCCAGTACTACCTGCCTTGTTGATTTGGTTTGAAATTTTGTCTGGGACAGAGCTGCCAATTGCTGCCTGCCTCAATTTCGTAAGAGCTTTAATATTTAAACTTTTTCAAGCAGAAATACAGTATAGGTATGCTTTTACCTCTGCTAATTTCGGTGGTGAATTTGACAGCTAGAATGGCTGGTCAGGAAAAGTGCTGTCAAGAGGATGCTCTATAGCATCCTTTGCATTTAGGGAGTAGGCCTTTCTCAAGCAGAGACTTCCAGCTAGTATTTGATGGTACAGCCAGCAGAGGAACCAAAACAAACTGACAATGTAATTTCCACTTATAACTTTTCTAGATTCAGTTCAGGTCCTGGAGGTCATTGTCATTAGTATTACTAGAGTCTGCTCAGTCCCCAAGCAAAGACTAACCCACAGATGTTTCAAGAGACGGTCCTTGACAGATGTGCTTACAATCATAAGATATATCAAGTATGGGAAGCAGAAAGAGACACTACTCCCACTTTGCACAGGAGCAACTATGGCAGAAAGTTGTTCCTGGATAAGCAGCTGGGATATTAGTGCAAGTGCTTTTCCCTCAATACCACCTTTACAAAAAAAAGCTGCACACGGTATTCTTAAAACTGTGCACTCAGTGCTTCACAGCTAATTCGAAAAGGCACCAGTTGACATAACCAGCTTACTCACAACAAATTGTCATGGATTATCCATGGGCTCCCACTGAGAAGGGAGGGGAGGGGGGTGAAAGAGAGAGAAAGAAATAAAAAAGAAAGAATGCAGTTAATTGGACTTTATTCTTTGAGTTTTCAAATGATGACTCTCAAGGAAGAAAAAAAAACAACAACTAAAGAGGTTTTTTTTCCTTACAAAATTTCGGTGTCAGGCTATGTGCTATGCCACAGCAATATACTAAAATAAACAAAACTATTTACTTCAGAGTCCAGAGAAACTAACACGACCAAAAATATTTTTGGAAGACTTCTGAACTGTAAGATTTCCATGCAGCAAGTCTTAGTCTCCAAGTGTTGGTAGGTTCATTAGGACAACACTACATTGTGCTCATATTCCAGGAACAGTCTGTTAGAAGCATTTTGTTAGCAATAGCTGCAGCCAGAGGAGTCCCTTTCTGTCATGGCCTTTCTCTTGCATTTGCATAAAGCCCTATTGGGGCCTGCTTCAGATTCCTATCTGACAGTCAGTAATGTAAGAATGAACATACAGCAGACTAATTGGAAACACAGAGCAAATGTTACAGGTTTGCTAGCTAGTGGGATTTTTTTTTATTATTATTTCCTCCTCACCCATCACTGCTCCCTGGAGATCACCAATGGCAGCTGCAGAGGTTGGTAGGAAGAGGGCAGAATAAGACATCCAGAGGCTGTTAAACAACCGGTATTAGCAGGTAACCTGGTGCCCTTGTCTAGGTTTTAATCAGATTGTGCAACTACCCCTTGTGAGCCAAAATGGGCTCTGCAACATCAAGTGTTGCAATCTGTGGCAAACTGCACAGAAGTCCACATCAGTAGATTTCTCCTCATCTCCTACTCCTGCAAAACAAATACCACACAGAAAGAACCACTTAGGAATCCCTAATTTGCAACAAAGTAGGAGCATATAGGCATGTTCTCGTTGATTTTGGCAAAGTCTCCCCTCTGCAGCACACAACAAACAAAATATCAAAACTTAAATCTAAAATTAGACATTTATTTCATTACATGGCTGTTTCCTAACATTCATCCTGCACACAAAGCTGTGAGGGTCACGCTGGGCTATTTTCCCAATCCTTGACCAAAACTTGGACTCAATCACATTTGGACACACTTTTTCCTTGCTCAGCATACCATGCCACAGCCTCTCTCCTCTATTTGTCCCAGTCTCTTTCCTTATGGGCCACAAATAAACCATCCCTAGACTCCCTTCCCTATAAGGCAAACCACTCCTAGACTCCCTTCTCATGTTCTTTCTACATGCCTCGTCTCCCCTTCTACACCTCAAACAGCTTTATGTCTTCTTTCTAAAAAGCTCTCTTGGGTCTTTACTTCAGACCTCAAGATCCCTAAATGCTGCTACCTCTAGATTTCACAAGCCCCAGCCTCACATGTATGAATTTTGAGTTGGACAGCAATCACCAAGGGGCAAAGCAAATGACACCATACAGAAGCTGTAAGAAAGAGTACCTATGGAGGAAGCCTTATGGAGGCATAGACACTTTGAAAGGCAAAATAATACTGAGGCAAGCTAAGAATTGCCCTCTGGCTTTAGCACCATAGCTGTTTTGGGGCTGCCTTTTCCTACATTTAGTCTACAGTGCCAGTTAATGTTCAAATTAGACAAATAGGGATTACCAGGAAAACTAAGCCAAATAGCAGAGTGTTCAATAACTAGGGAACTTCTGTGGCAGGGGACACATTACCTAAGAATTTCCAAGAGCTGCGGAAATGGGAGAGCACAAAACAGGCACAAAAGCGAACATTGTGAATGGGAGGCACTGGGCAGGTTGTTGGAGGGCTGCAGGAACCAATATATTCCTGTAGGAAGCCCTGCATTTACTTGTGTGGTTTAGTTCTCAGAAGCAACCAGAACTTTGAATGCTTATTTGAAAAGTTAAAATTTCATGCCTTACCCCTTGCTGGCCTCTGTAGTGCACTAAGCCCTTTTACAATTCCTTGAAATTTTTAATAGCTCTTTAGGATCCCTCAAAACACTCTAACAATTTTTAGTCACAGAAGTACACTTAACCCCATACAAACTGGCCTATATAATTCAACCAAACTTACAAATAATGAGGCTAAAAGAATACTAATTGGAAATGGGATATGTTAGCTGCTAGGTATTACAAGATAAAGTTTCCCCCTTCGACATGAATACTTTATGAGAAATACAGAAACACAATAAAGCTGGTAATGATGACAAATAAATCCCAGGGCCCATCATGTTGCAGAGGAAAGAGCAAACCTTTTTATCTTTTTCTTCTTTTTTTTTTTTCCTAAAAGTAAACACCCTTCATAATCCACATTTCCCTGTAATGTATTTGAGCAAGTTCTCACTTCAAAGATGATATAATTTTCCCAAGCCTCTCCCTCAAGAGGTGTGTGGTTTGTATTATAGTTTACTTAAAAGCACAGACTTGGAATCAAACCCTGGCAAACACAGTTATACACTTTTGGAAATTAAATGCTGGGTTTTTATTGGTTTGGGGTTTGTTATTTTGTCAACTGTTTCAATAGTTCCGAACACATGTCACAACTTATAGTGCCACCTAGTTTCTAACCAAAAGGTTACTACCAGGTACTAGAGCTTGATCTCCTTTCACAGTGTCCTTTAACTTTTGAAGGAACCAGAAAGGGGAGGAAGGGTTATTGTGCTCACACTCACCCTTTTGCTGTTCTCTTCTTCTTGCACCTTCCTAAACTCGTGCTCTAGAGAGCAATCTATGTCATTGAAGAGGCCCACTTCCTCACAGTTCTTCAGAAAGCGTGTTGGTGTAGGAGTCTGATCTGAGAATGACAAGAAACGACCACTGGTATTAATACTGAAAGGAGAGGGAGGGAATTAAATAGTTTGCCAGGAAGAGATTGGTTCTAGCTAACCTCTCCATGCCTTCCCACCCCTACCACACCATCACTAAAAACAAACCACATATTTTGATGCTATCAACTGCAGGCAGGCAGTGCTTGCCAAGTGTCTGAAAACAGGCAGCAGTCATCATTCAACCAGAAACCCAGGTTTCCACAGGGCACGTAACAGAAGTGCACATCTTCAACGTGTCCAAATGGTCATTGTAATTGTCTATAAACTCTCAATAATAGGTGCATGCAAAACAATGCACAGTGCATATGATAATGCACATTTACAGAACAGCACACAGGTAACTATAGCAGATACACACTAGTGAATGCTTTCAAGTGCTTGGAAACCACCTCAAACATACACATATTTTGCAAAACACATGAAGCTAAGCCACAGCAGGAAGAAGTTCTGTTTCTAACACAATTTTTTAAGAAGGAACAAAACAACATTAAGCTATGAAATGTTAAACTGACCACAAAGAAGAGTCCTTATGTGGTTTATATGTAAAAGTGTTGATAATACATATAAACCACAAAATTTTGAGTCAAAATATTTTTAATCCATGCCTTCATCTCTAGGAGCTTTTTGCCCTCTCAGAAATAATTCAGGGAAGGACAGGATTCTCTTTAATTCCACAGGCAGGAGGGACTCAAGAAGGTACATCGTTTTCAGCCTTCTTTTCAAAAACCTGCAAGACAGACAAGCTCAATTGTCCTGTGGACTGTTGTTTCAGTGATGACCTTGCCTGGTCTTTCTCTAGGAAGTGAAAAATCAAGCCCAAACTTGGGAACCAAGGATTCCTCAAAAGTGAGCTCTAAAGCAGCTCCATTCATTCTGAGGTGAGTTCTTAACTACTCTACCTCAGCTTTCCCATCCCCAAAAAATTACAATACAGAACTGTATTAGCAAAAGCAGGAAAGAATCCACACGGTCCTATCAGCTTTACACACATTAAAAAAAAAAAAAATTAAAATCCTCTCTTGCATGTTAGTTTTTTCTTCCTGGGCCCCCATTCCAGCTCAAGCTGCTTTGTAGTACCTAATTTTGTGGAAAATTGGACTCATTCACTCAAAAAGTAATCTCCTGTACAGTCATTGACAGCGATCCTATTGTTTTAAATTCATTCTTTAAAGAATGAAAACTCTGTCATACTAATCCCAGTTGCCCATATTGGGCCAATTCCGACCTCAGAAAAAAGCATCCCACTTCAGCAAGTTCCAGAAGAAAAAACTGGTTTCTTGCACCTAGCTATAAGCAAATTCTACTATTTTCCCTTCACAGAGATCAGTTACCAGACACAATGAACTTTGCCTGATCAGCACAGAAACACACAGCAACCCCTAAACAAAAGGCAGCAAAAAAGCAATGCATACCAAAGGAAATGCAGTTTTCACATGGTAACTAAGGGGGAGGATCAGCCTCCCCTACTATAAAGCCAGCTGAAGCCAATTTCCACCTGTATAAGGTGGAGTCCTACAAGTTTGACTTTCTCAAGTAATCCAAGGGCAAATACACTCATTTGCACTTATATTTCTGATGGAACATATTGATGTAACATAAAAAGCAAGTACTTAATGTTAAAATTCTGCTTTATTTCTTCTGGCTTGAGGATCCTACTTGTGAGCTTAAAGGAAACAAATCTCAAGTGTTTGGGAACGCACACATATTTATCTATTAGTTTTCACAGCTAACCACTGTATTACCAGAGTCAGAAACATAAGGCTTTCCAAGAACCTTGCAAGAACTCAGCACAAGGAGCTGAGTCAATGAGGTGCTGACATTGATGGGAGCTGAAGACACTTTACAGGTCCATATCCTAAATAAGTAGTGCCAAACTAATCTCTAGGGTAACCTCACTGAACTCAGTAGATTTACACTAGAGTTGTCTTTGGCCCTTGGACTAGAATTTGTACTGGAAATGAAATGCACTAAAAAGGAGAAATAGATGTTATTTCCAAAAAGGATTAAATATTCCTTCAGTCAACAACACGATTGCTTTGTAGAAAGACAAAGATAATGGCTGCCAAGCCTTCCTGGACATAAAAATCTTGTTAGTATTTGAATGTGAGGCAAATATAGGAAACATTTTCAGAAGTGGTATATCCATATCAAATATGCAAATTATCAGTTCCATGATGAAGACGAGAAACCAGGGTTCCATGAAAAAATTGATGGCACCACGTTCGCTAAAATCAAAAATCGTGGTGTTTTTTTCCAGAATTGCCTGAGACTAGAATTTGGGGGGTAGGGCAGAAGAGAGTACAGTAACATAGACATGGTCTTGTTATTATTCATCAAAGTACACAGCTGATCCAGAAATCAGGCATTACTACAACAGGCTACATTAGGTCAGAGGCAACTTAATGGGTACCAAGGTAGTGACCAGGAACTGATCAGGAACAGCTGACATTCCGATCTGTTCAGCATCTATTCCATGAATGTTAGACCAAAAAAAAAGTTATCAGTGAAGTAAATCCATTTTAACAGTGAAAACAAGCAACCCGGAGCAAGAATGGGACTTTTAATGCACAAAGGTCTCATCTGCCTTTCTCTCTGCACGTACTGAAAGTGTATCTTCTGCACCACAAGCAATCTGAGATAGTCACGTGTCATGTTGCCTATAGTTGATCTTTCCAATTGACTTTCCTATCTTAAGCCTCAAAGCTGATGGATTAATTACACTATTTACATCACCTAGATATTAACATGGTGATCTTAAATTACTACCAGTCTCCCCATATGGTTACTGCAGTTTCTATGATCCAGAAATCAGACTGGCAAGACTTCAGAACAAGATTTTGTTAGGACAGGCCCCCTCTCCTCCCTATCAGGAGAGGGAAGCAGGGAACACCATCAACCACCCAGCCTAAACTCCATCCACAGACCTTCTGGAAGCCAGTTCAGCCAGATGTAAACAAAGAGCTGCCTTTTCACCTTATCCTTCAATACTCATAGAAACCAGAAGTCCACAAAACCACCGTGTTTGTATGAGAGCAGAACTGATAAAGATCCAGACTTTAAAATGTTGAGACTTTACATAGTACATACACTGCACCCACTGGTTTCAGGACTTCAAAGCTACCAAGTCTGGTGGGCTTTCTTTGCTCCTGAGGCAACTAACTATTTTGCCCCTGCAAAATATCAGTTCTCCCTCAGAAGGCAGGCAAACTAGTAGAAGATGTTACTCTCAAGACCACAGTAATCCTTTTACCTGAATTAGGCAAGCCCTTGTGTTTTAATTGGGAACAATATCACAAAGGAGACCCTAGAATACATTACACATTCAGGTCTCCCAGAATTAATAAAATATTCCTAATTCTCAGCACTTAAAAATGCATTAACAGTTCCAACAGCTTGTGCCTGACCTCACTGTTCCCTGTTGGTACAAACAAACCTTTTGTTGCTATCATTAGCGCCCACAACTATTGCAGGCTCACTGAGAACAGGGCTCTGATTTGTTGTACTTCAGCAACTGGATGTGCCAGACCCATCTGGACCAAAACTCAGACAGAGCTATTATTGCTGAGGACACGCATTACTGTAGGAAGCTGTCCGTGTGCATGCTGCTAGCCACACAGCCCAGGACTTTAACGGCCCAAGCTGTATTTTGAACTGGGCAGCCTGGGATAGAGGTCTGCCTGGGTTAACCCTAGGTATCTGGCTATTATACTGAACAGCCATCCCAACACAGTCCATTGTTAAGCATGTAAAAATTTGCCATCCCCAACTGTTACCAGAACTAGTTTACTATGCTTTGAGGCATCTACCTCTAGCCAACTGACACTTCACAGATGAACCTGTGTCATCAGACGATTACTTAGGAAGTTATTTCTATCTCACCTTCACCACCAGGTTGAACACAGAACCTGTTCAGCTTCAAACTAAGCAATAAATATTTTGTTCAGCCTATTACTCAGGTGAATAGTCAGCCGCTCTGATGACATGCTCATGGTCAAAAAGGCTGCAAGAAACATTAAGTTTAAATAAACCTCAAAAACGTAAGTGGACAAAATAAAATCCCCAGAGCAAGATCAAACGGTCTCACCTGTGCAGATCCCAAGTCAAACTACTGTATCTTACAGAAGAGGATTTCAAAAGCACTCAGCAATCAGATTCTGACCACAACCTGATATACTGAATATATTCTTGCTGATGACCATTTTGAAAGCCTGTCCTCAGTGTCTGAAGTGATGCCTAATTCTCCAGACTAACTGAAAAATACATGCTGTAGGGAATGGGAAATTCAAAGTTTTCAGTAAAGAGATCCCATTATATATTCATTATGGTTTGCTATGCAAATTTTGTTGTTGTTGTTGTTGGTTTGGGTTTTTTTAAATCAAAATAAGACTCTCAGAAAGGACACTTCAGCCTCAATATATTGCTTTCAAAACATCAGCCACATTAGCTTGCTATATAGAGAACTTATTTGAATGCATTCTGTACAACTACCTTGGATCCTAGAGTTTCATCCCTCAAAGCATGAATTAAAACTTTAAAGCATGATACCAGTTATGAAAAAAATGGGGGAACCAAAGGACAGTTATGTGAAACAAGCTTTAATTTTTAAGAAAAATAAAAAACTACCTTCAGATTCAGTAAGAGATATCTAACAGCACAGCTTCAAAGTAACTGGATTCCTCATCTTTCTTAAAAAAAAAAAAGTTTAGTCTGATGTTCAGTGGCTTGTTCAGCTGGGGGCTCTGTCAAAGTTACATACTTACCCATGTTATCCTTTCACACAATGATAACAAAGTCAGAGAGCTAGCACTGAAATTTGAAGGGCTGCCCATCAAGCAGCCACAAGGAAAGAGGAATGTCCTGAGAAATTAAAGTTTTTTCATTGATTTGGCAGGTTACTTCCCAAAGCGCACCAAGAAGCTCAAGGTCATGACACCTCAAGCAGGCGATGGAAGAGGAAGAAGAGGTGCACCCAGTCATACCTAGTGGAACCACCCTCACCCAGGGGCTCACAGACAAGGCCTCCCAACAACTTCGCTGTTTAAAGCACTGGTTGGACTTCCTGCGGGGGTACATGTACTGGGTACAACGCATCTAATATTTTCTGGTCACTCAGAACCTGACCAGCTGAATTTTAGATGACTTTTCATTTCATTATTTGGTAAAGCAAGGGACACAGAACCAAACAAGAAATCAAAATTATTTTTCCTTATATCAAATAATTTTGCACTCCACAAAATTCATGCCTAGATAAACTTCCCTGTGTAAACCACAAGGAGAGAAAAAATCAAGCCAACCAAGGATGCAGTAAATTACCTCACTGACACAGACATTACCTGGGAAACATAACACATTTGCACAACCTTTAGCACACACCCTTTTTCATCTAGAGATTATTTCTATCTCCGCAGTGGGCTTTACCACCAAAAATCTAGAGGACTGGATTTCAGTAAATAGAATCAGGAGGAAACAAGGTTTCTATACAGATAATCCTGGCTTCTCCTGTATCTGCTAGCAGCACTTTTGGAAGGACTTCCCCCACTCCAGCAATTGGTAAGGCACCACTCCTTCCATTCCCAAATTTGATGCCACAGGAATCTGTGTCCCCCAACTCCCAAAGTTCAGTTCCACACCACTTTCAGTACTTACCTGGAGGGAATAATCTGTCCCATGGGCATCAATATTTCGGTGTTAAAAAAACAAAACCTCTGACACACAACAAAATACAGAGTTTCAAAGCAATGCAATGTTTAGTTAGCATAACAGCAGAAATTACATCTAATCCAGTCAACCTAACTACAAAGTTTCCTGCAATGACGACTAGCATGCAAAATTTACAAAAAATATTCTGTGTTATCTCAAACAGCTCTTTCTTGGCTAAGAAAGATGGAAATGGAAACTGTCAATGACTCTCTATCCATACTCACAAAAATGTTTTCTAACAAACAGAAACAAAATACATATGCAAAAAGAACAAATAACATCAGTCTTTTTTCTGTCTTTTTAAATGAATGTCAAATTACCCAACAAAAGGATCAGTTCCATTTTCATGCAATGCCTTTCCCTGCCGTTTATACCATCAGAAAACACAAAGCTATTTAGTGTACATATGTCCTTGGCGTTTCTGAATTAGTTCAGGAGTCCCTGTATTTAATAAGACTTGTTCTTCAGCCAGCATCAAAAAATTTAAGCAAATATAGTGGAGCTAGTTGACAACCAGGAAGCTGTTGGCTAGACATACTGGTAAACCAGCATAGCACCAGTGATTTCAATCAGGTCAAAGAACATTTTTTATTAAACTCTGACCCCATCTACATATAACTTTACCTCTCACTTAACGAGCTGGTATTTCGGAACTCAGCACAGATTTCACAAAAGAAATAAGTTCCTACTTCCCAAGTCATATTTTGCTTAGCTTCTAGGATGTTGTATTGATACAAGACCAACAGTCCCTCAGTTTTACTGCCTACCTCCAATAATAACTTATAGAAGACATGCTTAGTGCGTATTAAGTATCTCTGATATTATACTGAACCCAGACTGGGTATTAGCTATCTCTGGAAACAAAGTAAATAATTCTAATGGTTACCTGAAAGCATACACTCCACTACTTTGTGTGACTAATTACTAATAATGAAGGGATTCAAATACAGCACATTAAAAGGTAGTATACAACATACTGGAAAAAAAGGAGAAAGTCTGACTTCTAGGCACCTTACTAAAAAAGGAGGGAAAAAAACCACCACATACTAACACTGCACCTGGCTTTTTACAGGGCAATTGCTGCTTCAATTCTTTGAACGTACTGATGACAGAAATTTTTTTCCAAAAAAAAGTCAAATAAGCAAAAACACAAAAAACAAGAAGGAAGACATGAAGACAAATGTCTAAGAGAAAAGTCTGTCTCTTTTCCCCATATATCACTAATTTTTCATTAAGAAATGTAAGAATACAACATCTTAAACTTTAAGGTATTTAGATTTCCCCAGGGTTTAGGTGGGTAATGAAACAACTATTTTTCAATGTCTCCCTGCAGAGAGTAGATGATCTATGATACTTCCAAACTAAGAACTGCAAAATGCTAAACAAATCCACCAAATGAACACAAAAAGAAAAATCATACACAGCAGAATCAGGCTGACAGACTATTACGGTCAAGCACATTTGCTGCAGTCTTTGAGAATCACAGAATGTTAGAGATTGGAAGGGACCTCGAAAGATCATCTAGTCCAATCCCCCTGCCGGAGCAGGAACACCTAGATCAGATCACACAGGAACGCATCCAGGCGGGCTTTGAATGTCTCCAGAGAAGGAGACTCCACAACCTCTCTGGGCAGCCTGTGCCAGTGCTCTGTCACCCTCACCATGAAGAAGTTTTTTCTCATATTCAAGTGGAACCTACTATGTTCCAGCTTGAACCCATTGCCCCTTGTCCTATCACTGGATGTCACAGAGAAGAGCCTGGCTCCATCCTCCTGACACTCACCCTTTACATATTTATAAACATTGATTAGGTCACCCCTCAGTCTCCTCTTTTCCAGGCTAAAGAGACCCAGCTCCCTCAGCCTTTCCTCATCAGGGAGATGCTCCATTCCCTTCATCATCTTTGTGGCTCTGTGCTGGACTCTCTCCAGCAGTTCTCTGTCCCTCTTGAACTGAGGGGCCCAGAACTGGACACAATATTCCAGATGCGGTCTCACCAGGGCAGAGTAGAGGGGAAGGAGAACCTCTCTCAACCTACTGACCACCCTCCTTCTGATACACCCCAGGATGCCATTGGCCTTCTTGGCCACGAGGGCACAGTGCTGGCTCATGGTCATGTGCAGCTTTTTACTCTCACTTCTACAGAGCATCACTATCTACAAAGTGCAAAGAAACAATCTTGGAGCCTTTCTGGACACAAAATTCTGCATTTCTTTGTACTTAGTTGGTTAACTGGCGGTCTATGGGCCCCACTACTGGTGATAGTGGTGGAAGCCAGTCAGAGCACTTTGCCTGGGAAAGCAACCCACTGGAAGGAGCAGGACAGCTATCTCACAGAAATTACCAAACATAAACAGAGCTACTCAGGGAATTCTTGATGACAGAATATAGTCCTTAGAAACTGCCCTTGAGCAAAAGTCTTGCCAAACAAAGTTCTAACAAAAGCCAGCACTTTCACAGAGTGAATGTGCCCACAGTACAGACATCCTTGAGCAGTTTCACTGCCGGAGGACATGGCCAAGTGCAAGAGCAGCATTTTCTCACTCCTGCTTGCAAACACAGGATTCTGCAGGCATAGCTGGCATGCAGGCACTTTACAAGCCCTACTCTTCAACGTGCTGTGTACTCTTCCTTTCTAAGCTTAGTCCACTATGGCATTTTCAAGTGCAACAGGAAAATAAATTCTATTTGGGACAAGGTCTGTCTGATTTCTCACTGGTGCCTCAAGTCCCAACAACAACAACTACAAAAAAATCTGAATCAAATAACTGCAAGAAATTGCAACCCAATTATGATTTTCATAAAAACAGAAACTGTTTATCCATAAAAGAGGCAGCCTGCTGGAGACCCTTTAATCTTTATATGTTTGCACCAAAAATGGCACAATTTACCTTGAAGAAGCCCATTTCAAATAAATATCAACACTGGTTAACATCCACATGCACATTTACATCACAGGGTTTTTTTCTACAATTACTTTGAAACCTGAAAAATCCTAGTGATATTATTCTTAATAATCCATTACTATAGCCCAAGGAATACACAATAGGAAAGGGAACAGGAGAGGAGAGAAGTGGTAAGATTAAGGCTAGCTTGACCTTGTCTAGCACTCACTGAATGCCACCAAACCACCAATGTGTGGTTACTCAGACAAGAGTATGAACAAACTACATAAGAAACAAAAGGATGTAATTGCACATAATACCAAATAACCTCTATGTATGACAGGGGAAGTGCAGAGAGAGACGGTTACCTTTAGGGGGAAAGAGCACTGGATACTACCCACCGGTTTACCTTTCCGTTTATGGCTGCTTACAGCAGGCAGGTCTTGAGCCACCATGAAGGTGGCTCATACAATGTGGCCTGTTACAGTTGCTGAAGTGAGCTTGCCAAACTTAGTGAGTCTTGTAGAAACAGTACAAATGCACTACATTAACATACTCACTGCTGGGCTCCCAGGTGACATGCACTTAAGTGCCTATATTTCACTGGCATATTGACCCGGGAGCCAGCAATAGAGCTGTCAGTGTGGCTGAGGTTCAACAATTTCTCTCTCTCTCAAGCCAAACCTGTGGGAAGGCATAAGAATGGCAGCTGATTTTTTTTGTCCAAAGATACACATTGTAGCTTATTCCATCTCTACTTGTTATTTAATTGGAGCTGGGGCTTTTTAAAACCAATCTTGGAGGTATTTTGCTATTAGCTTTCCAGGAGGAGTCATGCTTTCAACATCATCTGAATAGTTATCTTGACTCTTGAATTTGTGTCTTCTTACCTGATAACATATTATCTGTTTTTATTGAAGGAAACTTCAAAGTCATTTCATGTTTGTGCCTGTGAATCATCAGATGATCCTCTGTTGGAAAACGCTGTCAGGCAAACACGGGGGGGTGGGGAGGGGGGGAGAGAGAGAGAGAGAGGAAGAGAGAGAAAAAAATGAAGAAGAATTTAATTCGCTAATAAACTTTTGGCATTGGACAGAATTTCAAAAATGAGAGAGAAGGAAATCTATGCAGCCAGAAACGTGTCCAAATGGCACAGAACAGCCACAGAATATTTGAAAATGCAAGTGAGCGTAAGTACCAAATACCTGTACTCTACTTAGAAATGTATTTGCTGCAGTGCTCTCGGCGGTTGCAAACAGAAAGATGTCATGCATTTGCTTGAAAAAGTTGCAAGACCAAGTTTTGGGTTCTCAGGGTCTCTGACACCCACTGCAGCTACCATAGCCTCACAAGTCACCACGTGCCTGAGGATCTGCAATAACTGCTGTTGTGTATGCTCTTAGCCCACGGCAAACACAAAGTAACGCAGTATATCTTAAATCACTTTACTGGATTTTTTCTGCTTTTGTGCCTCTTGTGTCTCTCTGCAACCTATATCTGCTGAATAGCAATATAAATAATCAAAGAGGCCAGCCCTTCACTACTTAAAAGGATTCAGGCAAAATGGATCTTTATTTTTTGAAACCTCTGGTACTTTGTCTTGATTCAAAGTGGCAGTGCAATGGTGCTCAGTATATAAAGGGTCATAAACAGTTGTTATGATACTAAAATTATTTTCCTGTGTCAAGCAGAGAAGGTGGAGAGATGTGCTTTGCAAGAAACTAATTAGTGTGCTAAGTTTGTTTTACAGTCTTATAACAGCCTTCTACAACAAATAGCTTCTTTTGAACATGACAAAGAGGAGACAAGCTTGGGCTCTAAGAACAGACTGGTTCTGTTAAGTTTCCTTCACCAGAAGGTGCATTCACAGACCTTTGCTACAAACTACTGTAATAGTTTGAACAGGGTTATTTCAGGACTAGCAAAGGCCATGAGACGTATCACCCTAGCTCAGGGGAAAAAAAAATGCAAAAGCAGCTTTTTTAAGCAATAGGTACATAGGAGACTGTCAAAAACTGGCAATAGAGTTAAAGCGACTTAGTGCTTTCAACACAGTATATTCTCGGCTAAGTGGCTTTGCTTGTGGCTATAGCACAGAGTTGCAGCATGTTGCACCTTCCGAGAATCTCTCTAAGCCCAAAGACAAAGCAACATAAATAATGGGAACTAATTCTCTGTGAGAAAAAATAAAATAAAATAAAATCCCTAAGACCTTTTCCTCACTGTGAAATCCTGGTTCATCGCTTACTCATCTGGAAGAAATGCAGCACTAGAAATTTGTGTTAAGTACAAAGGGAATTTGTGAAGGGCCTTGCTCAATGAAATTGTGAGAAAACACACATTCCTCCTGATGGAAAGGGATTTTCTTTCATGGACACCATGCTCTGTCTTCAGGGTGAAATCAGTCAGCTTTAAAGAGGGCATGGGGCAACTGAGGAGAAGCTATTCCTCCAAACCAAATGTCTGTGTCTTTTTTGCAAGTCTACTTTCTTCCTTGTCCAGAAGATCAACTCCCTCAGCCCTCAAATACACATCCACACTGGCTGATGGAGAAGCCAGTCTCCAAACAGCTTAGCCAGACAGCAGCGCTACAGTACACCCTCCTGTCAAGTCCTCCTTTACAACAAACAGAAGTCATGTTTTGAAATGGGGAATTACATGGTTTTTAAGATTGAGTCACGCCTACATCAAACCTGGTCTCTGAACATCTAAATGAGCTTGGATCAGCTCTCCCTCTATAGAGGATATTAATTAATAGCTGACATGAAAACACTCAAGTTCACTCATTTGAGTGGAAGTTAGTTTTAAGATTCAACAAAAAAGTAAACAAAATTTGACTACAAAATACTTTTATTCTACCTCTGGGACTGAATGGTGAAAGCTTAACTCTGCGTGTGCAGATCCGAAGTGACAAATCATCAGTCAGAGGGACAATCCAAAAGATGTACTCTGGCACCTGTAGAAATGCTCCCACTTAGTGAAACTGCAAAGCTGCTTGGCCAGTTGTTAACTGGACCTCAGGCTACTCCCTCTCCTTATTTCAGCTCTTGGCAAAATGAACACCTACACTCCAGTAACAGTCACCCATTGTTCTACCACAGGAACCTAAGGAGTTGTAAAAACACTAGCCAGCTGAAAACTCCTAAGGCACAGTTAACGCAGGGAAATACTATCCTCATTAAGAGAGGAAGACTCTGGGAAATGGATAAGCTAAGTCACTTATAACAGGAGGCCTGGGGCAACAGCCCAAAAGATGCCCTTGCCTGAAGTTTTTACACGTGCTCCTGTCACTAAACTGAATTAGGGTTGGAAGCACCACACGTGGAACTTCCCTCATCACTGCCTGGGGCGGGGAACTTCTCTCATCACTGCAAAATCATCTAAAAAAACCACATAAATCCCAATTCAAAAATCTCAGTAGGTAAAATCCTTGTCACTTCAGGTTTTTTAAAGATCATTAAGAAACTACTATTACAGGTCAGATTATACCCTCAGAGGCACATGGGAGATCACCAGTCAACAGGAATCCCAGATGTACATCCTGAGGCAGAATTTATGTACAGTCTAAATTTTCCATAAAGAATATTTAGTAGAAAGATGTCTCAAAGATTTAAAAAAAAAAAAAAAAAAAAAACCAACCACTAGAAAGATCTTATTGTATTTAAGTATTAAAAACAAAAAAACCAGGAGGATTACCACCTGCAATAGGAAACAATATATTCTATCGTACATCTAAGCAGAAGACAGACAAATGTGTCCTGCCTAGTGTGTCTTCTCTTGCTAGGCACTAAAGGAATTTGCAATACCTGGCTTGAAACATTAGGCTTGGAGATGAAGGAAGGCACAGAAGCAGCTTGAGAAGCACTTTTACCAACACACTTTTGACTGGCTGTTGTATTTGCTTTAAATATTTTGTAATAATATCTTGTGGAGTAAGGAGGGAACTGAGGGGGAGGAAGGTCTTAAAAAAAAAAAACTAACACACATTATTATTATTAGACATGTTAATATATCAGGAGACATTATACATGCCAGAGCTAGTGCTGAGGACTCAATATCACCGCTGACTCCACTCACCTGTGAGCAGCCTGGGGCACTGCAGACAAAAGGCCTCTCCTGCTCCAAGTTCATCTTTGATTCCTCATAAATCTACATGTTAAAAGGGGGAGGGGGAAAGAAAGGTAACCTATGAATATACACGTTCTAAACTTCACACATGCATGCAACATACCATCATCACAGTTTGTGCTTTTATTTCAAACTTGCAAAACAGACCAGAACAAAGTTTTAATCCTCAAAATACTATATTTGCTAATATTCAGCAGGCTCCCTACAGTCTAAGTTCTTATTACTCCTTCCTGAGTACATACACACTTTGAAGGAAGAAAGAAGAAAAAAAACTATTAGGCTTTCACAGCAGAAACATGCCTCAGAAAAAAAGCATATATTCAGTGTTGTTATTAGACAAGACCGTGTCTGCTCAGAAATATCTTGAATTAAGGGGTTTTACCTTTTTTTTGCTGAACAGCATTAAAACCAGACGTCTAAGTTACTTCTGAGAAAGAACCCACTTTTTGAAGTTCTTCATCCATACCGTTCAATACTAATAACTTAAATACATTACATACATGCTCTTTATGCACACAAGGTAACTGTGCATCCCTTTAAAAGGTCAACTAGATCCTCAGGAGCTTGTGACATGAAGTTTTGCCTAAAACTGCAGCTTCCCCATAGCAGTTCCAGTCCTGTAACCTTAAACTGAAGCCTGGGGGAGAGGTCCCGGGTCTCAAATAAAAACAGCAGGAGGAAACATTCACCCTCAGAACACAGTAACACAGATTAATGTGGGTCAATATTATGGCAGTGTCTATAACCAGCATCAACAAAAATAATTTTTTAGTAACATCCTAGGACATAAATAAGTTGCTTCTTTCAGAAATGTTTTCAGCCCATTGGTACAACTGGCATTACAAACTAAAATATAACAGCTAACCCATCTTAAAGCACAACATATGACTTCTGCTTACAGTATACCTCAAATCCCTTAAAATTCAGCCTCACCAGGGCTCCACAGAGAAAATATTTGTGTCAGTTTTTCATAAACCAAAGACAAATACTTTGGTGGAGAAGCAGAATTATTTTAAAGCTACAACAATTTGCAGAAGGACAAGTGCTAAAATTACTCCAGCTCATTGTCATTTTTTAAAAATGCAATTCATTGCTTTCTATTATCAGGAATATCTTTACCACATTTACACTTGTTAGAAAAGCTTTATTTTCAGAACAGTTGCTAGCATCCCCCGCAAACAATAAATAGACCATTAACCTGAACATCAGCCAGACCTGTACTTACAGCAACTATTTTCAGTTCCTAAGTTCTCAAAAAAAAAAAAAAAAGCCAACACCCCAAACTTTTGGACGATAGCTGTTTCTTTTTAATTAAAATTCATTCTGGTGGATAGAATTAGCCTGACAGGATATTTTCCTACCTATAGCACTCCCCTCCGCCCCCCTCCCCAAAAAAGGGGGGGGGGGGGAAGCAAAGCACCCTTTACCTGCCCCCACTGACTCCCAGAAGCAGCATCCAGTAGTAAAGAATTTCTGTTTTTATTTGGCCTTTAACCTCCACAAGGACACTACCCCCTAAAGGTGATAATTAGCATCAACTGGTTTTCTTGATGTGGACATCTCTAACAACATCTGGCCTGACACAAGTGATTTATTGCACCAAATACAACCAGCTGTCAAGAAAGACCCTAACTCAGGATTAACCTATCTCTCTACATGAGGCTAGAACTGAAATAACTAAAATTGTACCTAATTTACTCCTTTAGATTATTCATATCCTGTTTTGATTTAACTTACAGCTTTGTTAAGCTGAAATAAGACACTCATAATCAGAAATGAAAGACTATGTTCACAAAAAGGCTGATACTTAAATAACTAAAGGTGTTAAATTACTTCTGATTTCAGTTATTTCAGTTCCGGACTGTGCATAGACAGGCTCTTCAGAAGTGAAGCGATAAAAATGCTCTGAATTACACTATCCTGTCTGACAGAAACAAGCAGCAGAGAGAGAACTGGCTAAACAAACAAACCCCTGCAAAAACAAAACCAAAACCTCCAGCCAAGTTTGATTTTTAAATCCACCTCTATTTATGGGATGTGACCCCGGGATGTTGTCTTTCCTAAAGACCTTTTCACATTTAAAAAAAAAAAAAAAAAAAAAGCTATGCATGGATAATGAAAGGCTCTATCTGATATCTCTACTACCCTTGCAAATGAAGCACTGCCAAAGGTTTCTCTTACCCCTTTCTCCCCTCCTCAGGGGAGTGCGACAACTGCATTTTCAATAGCAGAACAACAGATGAAACTCAGTTAAAGAAAACAAGAAAATAACAATTCTGGTCCCAAGTGTCCAAGTGAATTTCAAAGCACCACCAGGAATTATTTGGGCTTTGTTTTCTTATTGAGTATTGAAAGCCTAAGACTTCCCTCGCTGCCCGGAGCTTGAGCTTTAGTCCCAAAATCCATCAGTGCAAGCTCTGATACCAATTAAATGATTCTCAAGGTTATCTAGACAGATAAGCAAGGACTGAACACCAAAATAACATACTCAATAAGGACTAGAATCCTGAACGTGGGGATCGACTCCAGGAAAACATGGACTTGGGTACTTTGAAAAGGTGTCAGATTCAACATCTAGTCGTTTACCACGAACGTACAAGCAACTGCTGGTTCCCATGAGAATCACTTTTTGTATACTATTTGCAGATACTAAACTTAAAAAAAAAAAAAAATTAGTAATCCAGAATGGCTATATCATGCATGTTCTCCAGGATACTGTCTAGCATAACTTGATCCATATAACAAGTTACAAGATAGTACAATGCCCTCAAGACAAAATGCACCACGTAGAATTTGTATTTACATGGGATGTTATCACCGCGCTTGAGACTGTGGTACTGTTGACTCTCTTACAATAGGAAGTGAGTGAAAGAAGCTGCCTACTGCCTACGATTTTTGACAGGGCGTCCACTGCTTGGCTATCTTATGGCACTAATTCAAATTTTGTGTTTGAATGTTGACCAGAAACAAGTAGCTGAAAGTCTGGGCTGTAAGCGTGAATCTCCTGCATCTCCCATTCCTGTTAGAGCTGCAGATGCACAAGCAACGCAGGATCTCACCCCAGGTAACAATTCAGGTCCCAGAATTTGCAGCAGGATGGGAGCTCTCAGCAACAGAGGTGTTTTGGTTGTGCACACCACAGTTTACAGGGCATGCGTTTCAAGATGCAGGCATCTCCCATCCTTCTGTTCAGAACATAGACAGTCGTACACAGCCCCTGGCACACAGCTCACTTCACGCAGCTCATGTGTGTTGCTGGGCCACACAACCCACATCCCCTTTTCCCACAGTGTGTGCAGGTTCAGCATACATGAAAGGAAATCACACAATCAATGGCAACATTTCAACTTCACCTAGTAAAAATAAATCACAGCAACCTTTCCATCTAAATTAAGGTGCTTATTAACCTTTGGGATCTTAAAAATTCAAGTTACACTCATGCACCTTTCATAGAACTATATGCGACTGCTGCAATTAATGGGCATGAAGAATATCAGGCAAATCCATGATGACTGAAAAGTTAAAAAATTGCTCAGGCCTGGATTTTTTACTTCTGCTATCAATAGCTTAATTTATTGCAACTTTGTGACATCTTTGAAGAAACAAACAAGGATTATAAATATAAGCGAGCACTAATATTGCTACGTCAGCATTAGTTCTGATATTATTAACAATAGGCATGAGTGCATTATGCAGCAGAAAAGGGGGCTGCATTTTAATAGACATGTTAACAACATCTGTCAGCATTTATTGCCCTATTGTGACCACGTAAAGAGTCTTATTGGCAGAATACGTAAGTGAGGAAATCTGCTACACTGTTGTAGCCTGACATTCTCCTGAAACATCATTCTGCTTAGTATAAGTTAAGGTATTCTAATTAGAAAAGTAAACAAAAATCTAGAAGAAACACAGAAAGACATCTCCAACCCACGTCAAATGGAAGAGAAACAAACAAGTTCTGCAGCAAGCCAAGATTTTCTTCTGTTCCTTGATTTCTGCATAAGATGCTTCTAAACATTTTTATTGTAATTAATAAAACTAATTAAAATTAATAAAAGCCCAGAGCAAGGAATGCATAACAAAGAAATAAAAAGCAAACAACACAAACAAAACCACCTTCAGAACACAGCAACAAACAGCCCCTCTCAGCAGCATCCAGTGGGAAGCACCCTGCGTCCTCAAGCAGATTTTCCAGAGCCCCCTGAATCAGAAAAATAGTTCTAACTAACACCAAGAAAGCACGGTCCTTTCTGTCTTTCTCTCCCTCCCTTTTTAAACTCAGCAGTAATCTTATTGCCTTACTGGTAAAAACATCAAGAAGGCTTGTTTCCTGTTTCAATGTTATTCTTGAAGTGGGCTGCAGTAAGAATCTGATTTTCATTGGGCTATTATTATTTGCAGCTGTGCGACCTTTTTAACCCTCTTCTGAAAGTGACATTTCAGCCTTCAACCCCAAGCTGTCTAAATGTTGCAAGGTTTTCAGTCCTCTGATTAACATTGAAAAGGAACTCATGGGGAGGTGTATACTACAATGTGTCTAATACAGGTCAGTGCACCCATCCTGCCATTTGCACAAGTGAGTAATTACAGTCTTATAAGCAACCTGTTTGTTGAAATTAATCACCTGGGCACATGCTTGCAAGACAGGTTTCTTCAAGCTGGTGTGACCAAGGTCACCGAGATTTCCAAATACAAGTACAAAATACACAGTCACTAGCGTTAGCAGCTGTATGCAGAGACATGAGCAATAAATGAAGCATCACTTATTTTTTTAGGGTCATGGCCACAATGTATAAAAAGTGAGAGGAGACGTGGTTATGGTGCACTTGTGAATATTAAAGAACCCCATTGGTGTATGCAGTACTTTAAACTGCTAGCCATGGCTATTCAGTATAGCACAATTTACAGATAATTACAGCGTTATTACAAATGCCATTAAGATTTGTTGGTTTTGGAAGTGTAGCACACACAGGGTTAATGCCTACGGTTGTTCACAATATGTTCTGGCATGAGCA